AATTCTCAGCTGACGCAACTTATCATGCTGTCAAGTTTTCAGCCAGGGCCATTTCTTCACATGTCACAGTGCGATGCTTACTATGGTTAAAACATTGGCAAGTGGACTTTAAGCACAAATGCAAGCTGGCTTCATCTCCTATTGTGGGAGACAGACTGTTTGGCCCTTCCCTTGATCCGCTACTCATTGAAACCCGAAACAAAAAGAAAATTCTACCTTCGTCAAGTCTCCAATTTCTGACGTATAAGGTAGTTTTCCTTGTAGCGATCACTTCTGCTTGTCGTATTTCGGAACTGGCAGCTTTGTCAATCAGAAAAGACCTTTGTGTCTTCCATTCTGACTGGGTGGTCCTTCGTCCTGATCCTACATTTATACCCAAAATTAATTTGGCGTTTCACAGGGCACAAGAGCTGATACTTCCTAACTTTTGTCCCAGGCCATCTCAAAGGTTGGAACTACAATGGCAACGGCTTGATGTGAGGCGAGCATTGTGAATATATATTCACCGCACAGCGACTTTCAGGAAAACGGAAGCTTTATTTGTGTCATTTCAGCCAAACACTCAGGGATGCAAGGTCTCTTCTTCCACAATAGGCCATTGGCTACGGGCTGCGATAGCGAAAACGTATCAGACTCAATCACTACAGGTGCCCAGGGGCATAACAGCTCATTCAACAAGGAGTGCAGCAACATCGGCAGCATGGGCCACGCAGGCACCAATAACTGAAATTTGTCGAGCCGCAACCTGGGCCTTTCCATTGCCCTTCATTAGGCATTATAAAATAGATGTGTTTGCATCCGCTGAGGCCTCCTTTGGCAGAAGAGTCCTGCAATGGGTTCACAGGGACCAGGAGAGGATTCCAAGCCAGACGGATTCCCTCCCATAGGACAGGCCAAGTTTTGGTATGTCCCACTACTGGATGCTCTGAACAACTCATAGGAGTAAGGGCATTGGTACTTATCTGATACGCCCGTTCTCTTTGAGCTGTGAAGAGCATCCAGCCCCACCCCTTTTTTCTGTCTGGTGGGGTCCCGTTTTGGCCAACGAATTGTTAAGGTGTTCAGGGCGAGTGGTGTTTATTCTCTCGTCTTCACCAAAACTGGGGAACGCTGGGGAGGAGTCCCGTGGAGGAGGAGGAGCGTTCCAGAAATTAAGCCCAGCCTAGACATACAGAGACTGCAGCACCTCCCACTACTGGATGCTCTTCACAGCTCAAAGAGAACGGGCCTATCAGGTAAGTGCCAACGCCCTTTCTGTTATTATCCCTCAAGCAAAATCAATGGGGAATCTGGCTGGAAGTTGCAAATCACAGGTGGATCACAAGCAGGCCAGAGGGTTGGTGAGTACCATGGAGGGAAGTGAAGAGGTGCTGTGTGGGACCTGGGGATGTTGCTGCGGTGTTCAAAAAGTGCTTGTGGGCTGGGAATGAGGTGCTACAAAGCAAACACAGACTGTGGAGTATGAGATCCCTAGGATCTCGTCATCTGAAACAAGGTTGATTTTACTTGTAGGAAGCCGGCAGGGAGGGTCACAAATGGAGACCACATAATTATAGGATGCTTCAACTGTTATAAGTTTGAGCCAATTGCCAAGCGCCTGGATCACAATCTCATGACTGAAAATGTGCTGCAACGATCAGCATAAGTACCATTTATTTCACTCCATCACAACTTCAGATAATTGTTAAACAAGTGATTGCTATCCAAGGTCTACCTGTAATTATCATTAAGTGGCTGTTTTACTTTTTTATCTTAACCTTTTCTGCTTCTTACTAGAGTTCTGACAAAGTCACATCCTTTGGGCAGAAGTGGAAGAGCAGTGCAGTGAGTGTATAAGATGTAATGTTAAGGTATTGGCCTAGAACTTAGGAGACACAGGTTCCAGTCTGCCCTCATCCAGGGAACCATGAAAAGTCCCTGAGTGACCTTGGTCTCTCCACCCAGCCTACCTCATAGTGCTGCTTTCATGGAAATAAAATGAAGGAAGATCCCTTGTAAACCCTTTAAAACTTGAAGGAAAGTGCAAGAAGTAATTCTAACAAAGAAACAAGCACAAAGTATAGGCCACCATGCTGTTCTTCCATCTTTGTGAAAAAACAAGAGTTACAGATGTATATTTTACACAGCTGAGACCTTCACCAGCCCTCCTTTGGTTCAGTTCACTCTACTGGTACTTTTCAATCTCCCGTTGTTTTAATCAGTGTTTACATTTGTTCTAAAATACTTTTTCACCTGCACTAAAATTATTAAGGTAGAATCAAATTATACACTGGATTAAGTAAAAATGTTTCACACAAAGCATAAAAGTATAAAAAGCACTGTGCTGGATTAGACTAAAGAACTGTTTGTCTGCTAGGTTGGCATCCATTCATTCACTCAATTTAATGGCCACCCAGCTGCATAAGATCTGGGCAGCTTATTTGATTAAAATTTTAACCTGTGTCTGAAATCTTTCTTTAAAAGTATCTACAAAAATGTGGGTGTTTTTGGTTTTTGTTCATTTTAATAATAAGGAGAAATGTATGAGGAAAAGTTAAAAGATGAGAATACATTTAATGCACAGAAGAGATGGCTGATCGGAGTTGTGATTGCAGTCTTTTAATATCTCAAGGCTTGTCACATTGAAGAGGGAGTGGCTATATTCTGTATTGTGCAAGAGAGCAGAACCAGAATCAATGGTTTAAACCAGGTGTGTCCAAACTTGGAAACTTTACTACTTGTAGACTTCCAGAATTCCCCAGACAGCCATGACCACAAATCTTACAGTTGCCAAATTTGGAGGCCTTTAGTTTAACTTTAAACTAAAAGGAAGTAAATTCAGGCTAGAAACCAGGAAGAATATACTTAATTCTTTAGAAGCTGGATAAACATCTCTCAGAGATGCTTTAGTAGACCCTGTGTATACCTGCATCTATCATTTCTATCCCCTGTAAAAGAATCTGATATCACCTTGTAGAAGGGCTTGAAATAAGCATGCAGTACAGCTCTGCTAGGAGAGTTATAGTTATGAAATGTTCTTTTAGTCGCATGTTTTTCATAGAAATGCCTTTGCAAATTCTGAAAAATGTATTTAATGGAGCCCTTCAGTAAAATGGTGAAGAGTTTTGCTGAACTCCCCTCTGGGTCTCCCTTCTTCTAACAACAGCCATCAAATTGTGAACCATGGAGAAGTAGTTACACATGGAAGGCTCCTTTCTTTCAGATCTCATTTTCCATTTGTGGCTCAACAACACTTCAGAACTACTTTCTCAAGAGATCACTTATGTTTCTTAGAGACGCTCTTTTTTTTTCAAGAGCATAAGCAGCTATCAAGTGAAGAGGTAGATATGGAACCAGGGCATACACTTGAAAAACTATTTGAAAAAAAATCTTTGAACCTCTAACAGATATAAGGAAATAGTCATTCAAGTCTCTATAACTCTTAAAGCAGCAGAAGTCTGAAAAGGGGGTTATTTTATGACAAGCTGCTAATATTTAATTTAATCCCCTACATTCTAACTACTTACATGACAATGATCCTATTTGGCTCGGGTCCTCTGTTAGAATTGAGGAGTTTGAATATGGGATGGGTGTCTCAGGTATTGGAAAGTGCTACATTAAGTTACAGGTGGCCATTTCCATCTTCTCCTAGAGCAGGGGTGGGCAAACTACGGCCCGCGGGCCACATCCGGCCCGTTGGTCTGTCCAATCCGGCCCGCCCCTGAAAAAAATCACTGGGCGTTGCGTATTGCCCTGTGCCACGTGGCCCCCAAAGCTGCAAAACAGTGCAGAGCGCTCTCGGGGTAGGAAAGAAAAGAACTTTGCAAAGGCCTCGGCTGGGAGTTCGAAATCACCTTCGAGTGCGACCTCTCCGAAGGTGAGTCCCCGCCGATCCCCCTTTTTTTTCCGGGGCTTCCAGGCTTAAACTTTGCAAAGGCAAAGTTTGCAGGCTGGAGCGTCTTCCCGCCGAGGAGCGGGAAGGGTTCCGTCCAGCGGGCGGGCGGGCTGCTTAAACTTTGCTCGGGCGGCACTTTAAAAGCCTGCTCCCAGCACCCGAGCAACTTCCCAGCAACTTTCGGCTTCCTTTTTCCTCGCAGGCGCTCGCGCCTGGCCCTGAGCTGCATGGCGGAGGGGAAACCCAGAGCGCTGCCGGGTCGCCTCCTCCAAGCAGCCCGCCCGCCCGCTGGAAGACGCTCCCGCCTGCGAACTTTGCCTGTGCAAAGTTTAAGCCTGGAAGCCCCGGAAACCCGAGCAACTTCCCAGCAACTTGCGGCTTCCTTTTTCCTCGCGGGTGCTCGCGCCTGGCCCTGAGCCGGGCGGCAGAGGGGAAGCCCGGCGGGCGGGCGGGCTGCTTGGAGGAGGCGACCCGGCGGTGCTCCGGCAGCAGCAACAGGCAGTTCCGCCCGGGCTCCGCTCAGGTGTCCGGCTGGGGCTGTCAGGAGTTGCTACCGCCGGCGCAGCTCTGCGCGGCTCCAGTCCCGCGTTGCCTTGGGAAGGAAAAGGCAAAACCAGGAGCCGCTGAGCCTGAGCCTCCTGTTGCAAAGCACCGCCGCGGCTCTTCCTTTTTGCCTTTCCCTTCCCGAGGCAACGCGGGACTGGAGCCACGCCGAGCCGCGCTGGCGGTAGCAACTCCTGACTCAGGGGGCCTCCGAGGGGAGGGGAAGGAGGAGAAGAGGGGGGAAGGGGGGGCGATTCCCAAAAAATCTTGTGCTGACCCGGCCCGTCTGTCAAATTTTAAAAGTCAATGCGGCCCCCGAGCCAAAAAGTTTGCCCACCCCTGTCCTAGAGAAAAGGCCAGGATTCTGTGTCTGTCCATCATGGACCTTAGATGGACAATTTTATTGTGTTTCACGTGGGATCTCTGATATCTGGTAGTCCAACACCCCCTCTAAATACCTGCTGATTTAAATTTTTACAGTTGCTCTAAGTTGCTTTGTTTATCTCAGCCACACACTGTCCCTGGCATTGCCAGTCTCTATGGTCACCTACTAAATTGCTATTTATTTTTCCTTTCTGATCAGATATGGCACAAGGACATTTACATCTGGCTCACCTGAATAGGGATATCCGAATGCAGCCCAGTTCTGCCTCACCTTTGGAAGGCCGGTCCCCGACTTCTCTACATTACCGAAATGGCAACCAGCGCCGCTTTTCTATGGAGGTAACGTGCAAACTATTAGACAAGCTTTGCCCAGTGGCAGAAATGATGCTGATGGAGTTCTTGGAGATGCCTCCTCCTCCTCCTCCTCCCTTTAAACATAGCAAGATAAATTTGAAAGCTTGACACCGAAAGGAAGCAACCTCAAATATCAGTGGCCTATCTAGTTTTCTCTTAACATGTGGTGTGTTTTGTTATATAATAATTGTGCATATGGTCTAGAAGCTGCTCCCACAACAGGTAATGCTAGATTTAACCTGGCATTTATAAAAACTATATTGTATCATTTTGTAGTTGGATCCCACTATCCAGTTTGGAAGATCTTGTCAAGTGTAATGTGTTATTTTTCTTCCCAGGATGTCAGCAAGCGTCTCTCTCTGCCCATGGATATTCGCCTACCCCCAGAATTCCTCCAAAAACTAGAAATGGAAAATCCAGAGATTTCTAAGCCTCTCAGCAGAATGTCACGAAGGGCATCTCTGGTGAGTCTCCAGAACTCTAGAGGTTCCACCGTTTGGCCCAGAGTTTTGTGTTTCGGTTGTAATGTCATCAGATGGTACGTCATCAGTTGCAAACATTGGCTAGAGATTTCCTTAGAGTTTCTCTCAATTCTTACAGTTTCATCTTAAAAGAAAATATTTAAATGTTTTCACAGTAAAGTAGCGTAATGATTTTAGTAGTTTTTCATTGAGCAATTGACTCGTTTAACTACCATTCACAGTAATGACAGTGATGAAAAAGTAACTTTGCAATCAGTCCTTGAATTTACGATCTTTGGACATCTGTAAAGCCAAGGAAACCTGAATTGCGGTTGCTAAACAAGAACTGCCTAAAATAGAGTATCAATTTCACCAAGGGATGAAAAATTCCAGTTCTAATCTAGCTAATAATACTTCTTTAGTGAACTGAGAATGAAATGCTTCTTCAAATCTTGTTATTGTTGTTGTTATTTAAAAAATGTGTCTTTACCACCACCTGCTGTTGAATAATAAATATATTAAAATGAGAAATATGAACCAAGCATCTTTAATACTTCCACACAGAAAACCTCTTACCAGCCTAGAAGGATTGATCCATGAATCTGTCATCTTCATTAGTGCTATATATTGTTTTGGAAACATATGCCATATTTGCTGAATAAAATTCAACCTAAACACAGTAGATTAATGTTAGTTTTTCAAGCATTATAATATTCCATGGGAATAGAGTTTGTGAGAGACCAAAACCTTCTTGTGTCACACAAGAGGTCAGGGGACTATTTGGTGAATTAGTCTGGTTATCTTGACCCTTGGATCAATATGCTTATATTTCATAAGCAAAGGAGAGAATCCCCCAGGCAATCCTCACTTTTAATTGATGCATGTGCTGACCAAAGTAACAGGCCATTTGAGAAGTAAATATGAGAAATATTGCTTGCTGCAAAATACCCCAAGCAAAGACAAGAATGTGAGCAGTCTTGTTTTTAAGCTCCACAGTGGGAAAGAAGCAAGAGATCTCCAGATTCTTGAAAGTCAAACGGCTGGTTCTTACCAGCAATTGGCTGGTGACTCTCTGCGTGGTAACAGATGCTGAGCTGCAAGTTCAAGGACCTGTCTTCATTTATTTCCCAGATAATTCATTTTAAGCAATATATTTTTACAGAATGGTTATTGGTAAGCTTCTCCTGGAAATCAATCCAATGGGCTAGACTTCTTAATAGACCTGTGTTGACCTGTGTTGTGAGTTTCTTAATATTGCATTTTGTACTGATACTTCTCTCCTTTTTTATGGTAGTCAGACATTGGGTTTGGCAAGATGGAAACTTATGTTAAACTGGAAAAGTTGGGGGAGGTAAGAATAATCTCAAAGAACGATCGGTCCCATCCATCCGTCTTTGCAAGTTCCTGTTGTATTTTTGTGATAATACTTTTGCAACCTGATTTGGGAAACTCATATTTGACATATAGGAGTTTAAGTGTTTAATATCTCTCTAATTCTGAACTGAATTTAAATACTATAGGATTTATCTGCATAAAAAAAATAATTACCATTGCGTGCCTTGGAGCATATCAGACTATCTTCATTATAGTTTATTACATCCATTCCTTTATAGTTTCATATAACATATTTTTCCTTTTATTTCATTAGTTAATTCATGCCTTTTGGCACTTATTCCTTTTATAGTCCAAGTTGCAGTTCATATGCCATGCTTGTCACCAAATGACACTAAGATTTTGACCCCTGCCACTCATCATGTCTATTCAGAGTGTGCTTCCCAAATTAAATGCACTTTCCATATTAGAATGGACAGGAAGAAAAAAATGGCAAAATTGGTGTGGTCTGGTCTAGAAACTAAGAGACTGTGAGATCTAGGTTCAGCCCAACCTACCACACAGGGTTTTTGTTGTGGGAAATTAGGATAAGGAAGGAGTGGTATTAGATATGTTTGCCACTTTGAATTGATAAAAAAAAATAATGTGTGAAAAAAAATCTAACAATAATAAATTAGATCCAGCCTCTCTGTGGAATTTGTTTGACAGATGGTGTCAGTGGAGATTTATTTTTAATGCAAATTTTAAAAAGTTTAAGGAGTTAATTCCTTAAATTCAGGAGGCCCAGAATGAAAAAGAGAGAGAGAGAGATGTAAAATCTATTGCATTTTGTGGTACTTACTTTTGTTGCTGCTTTCTTCACAGGGCACTTATGCTACTGTATTTAAAGGACGCAGCAAACTCACCAAGAATCTTGTGGCGCTGAAGGAGATCAGGTTAGAGCATGAAGAAGGGGCACCTTGCACAGCTATACGGGAAGGTAAGATGTAGACTTGGGGTTTCCAGACCCCTGTTAGCAGCATATAGCAATTATTTTTCTAGATCTATTCCTACAAATTCATATGTTGTCAGTTTTCCCTAACATGGTTCTTCCTGGTGTCTTAGATTACATGTCCCATAATCTGTCTTTAAGTTTCCTGGGAATTGTGTAACTGGTAGTCCAACCAATCTGTATGGATGAGCTGTGATTCCAACTCATAGCTCCAACACCTTCAGATGATGTGTTGTGTGATTGATACGGCTATGGTTTGTCTTACAGTTTCCTTACTGAAGAATCTAAAGCATGCCAACATTGTGACTCTCCACGATATCATTCACACAAAATGCTCCCTCACTCTTGTTTTTGAATATCTGGTAAGTTTACAGATCTCTTTCTAAGGGAAGGTATAGCTGGCTAAGGCAACTGGCATGGTAGCTTGCCTGGAATACATCAGTAATGTGCTGAGCAGTGCTAAGGTTCTTGGTTTTCTTTTAACTCTTAGCTAATCAGTAGCATCCGTTAGAAAATGTTCTCTGAAGAATGTTCATTTATTGTTCCCAGATATTGTTTAATTGTGCTCCAGGTAGCACAGATAGCAGTTTTGTTTACTCAGCCATAGTATGTACTCAGTCCTATTGCATTTGCCAAGCCTTCCAGAAAAGGTGAACAGAGTTGCCCTAAATAGTAATTGCAAATGGTATAATTGCAACTGCTGGAGAAAACAGAAAGAAATGGCATTTTCTTAGCAGTAGCAAAAATGTGGCTTAAGAGTTGGGAAAATTTGAATTTTCTGAAACAGATGTGTTTATCAGGAAACATTTAAATAGCATCTGGATTGGGTGTGTTTGCTAGAAGAACTGCTTTTTATCTCCTGTTACAGTTATACCTGCATATTCATTTTACAATATCAACAAATCTCTGAAAAGGTTGCATTGTTCAGAGTTATATAATAAGCCTTACTAACATCTATGTTTTGTTGGAGGTAATACTTAGTTGCAAATATATCTTGTTCTTCTGAAGTCCTGGAAAACATAATTTGATTTGCATTTTCTAATACTGAAGAAATTGTGGACATCTCATTCCTCATAGCAAGTTATGCCCTCAGGACATGCTTATCTTTGCAGGATAGTGACCTGAAACAGTACCTGGATAACTGTGGGAATCTGATGAGCATGTACAATGTGAAGGTGAGTAGACAGATCGATGGATAGAAAGATTGGCCTTTTCAAAGGCTTCTCTTGGAAAATAAACTTATGAGAGAATTGTGCTTCCCTTCTCTATTTGGTATCCTGGAAATATATTGGATTACTATATGCATAATTTACAACACTTGGTCATTAGCATATCTGGAAGCCATCTGGTTGAGAAATCTGTATTTCGGAAAAACAAACTGCGAATGTTACCAATTGTTTCTTCTCTGATCTTCTCTTGCTTCAAGATTTTCATGTTCCAGCTGCTTCGTGGTTTGTCCTACTGCCATCAGCATAAGATCCTACACAGAGATCTCAAGCCACAGAATCTGCTTATTAATGGAAAAGGAGAACTAAAACTTGCTGACTTTGGTAAGTTAGTGAGTGAGACCATCTCCTTGGCTTTCAGAGTAATGGTATTTATTTATTTATTATTTATTTATTTATTTATTTAGAAAATTAATATGGCCACCCATCTCACATAATGTGACTCTGAGCAGTGTACAAACACAGCAACAATTAAAATAACCAGACAATCTTAAAATACTGAACATAAATCAAAATAAAAGCACAGAAATGCAAAGAACGTGAGAAATAAAAATCACTTAATGTCAAACTACCATCTAGCAGGTTCCCCATGGATTCCCTAAGGTTTTTTGAGGGGGGGATTAATCTGTTGGCCTTCAGAAGAGTTTCGATGGGTGTTTTAATATTAGGGTCACACATCTCAAGAAACTTTCCCCCTTTTTTCTCTAATATTTTCCTGTATATTATTTACAAATAAACTGGACTTTTATTCAAGTTATGAGATTATAAGAACCTTTTTTTCAGAAGCATCTTGTAGTTGTTCTGTCACTGAGAACAAGATCCATTGAATTTAATGAACATAGTTCTCTAAGTGAAACAATCAGTTCAAATAGCTCATACATAACTGTTATGTCCACCACTGTTTTAAGCAGAGGTCTCCAAACTTGGCAACTTTAAGACTTGTGGACTTCAACTCCCAGAATTCTCCAGCCAGCATAGTTGAAGTCCACAAGTCTTAAAGTTGCCAATTTTGGGGACCCCTGCTTTTAAGTATTGAGTTACATAGGACTCTTTTTTGTAAAAACAGGTTTGTTTTTGTAAAGCATATATGGGTTTAATCTAAATCTCGATTAATAACTGCAGCTGAATCTCACAGGGAATTGTTTTATCCTCAGGTCTAGCCAGAGCCAAGTCTGTCCCAACAAAGACATATTCCAATGAAGTGGTCACATTATGGTACCGACCTCCTGATGTCCTACTAGGATCTACTGAATATTCCACTCCCATAGACATGTGGTAAGCCTAATGTCTGTACAAGGGTGAAAATGATTGTTCTTCATGCAGTTCCTTTTAAAATTAAGAAATTATAGTTTGGCTGCCCCCAATACATACTTTTTCCAAATTCCACAGCATGCTGATGACTTAGGCTTTATAATGTTAAAGACCAACTTCTAAATAAGGTGGCACTGCAGTTTACAAGTACTCACTTAGCAGAATCAAACTCACAGGGGAGGGATGTTACAGAAGATGGAAAAAAATTAGATTTTTGTGGCTCATTCCTTCATGCTCCTTGAAACCTCTCTTGTCTGGTTAGCAATTTAGTATGAAAAAAATAATCCTTTTTGCCTGATCTTCTGGAGTCCTTCAGGATTCAGCATCTTCTTCAGAGACTGAATTAATGAGAGGTATTAATGAGACAAGGCAACTTAGGAGAAAGCACATTGCTCCATTCAACTTCACAAGACCTTCTCCTTTTAGGGGCGTGGGTTGCATACACTATGAAATGGTCACAGGACGTCCAATGTTCCCAGGATCCACTGTGAAAGAAGAACTTAATTTAATATTCAGAATGTTGGGTGAGTCTTCTTCGTTCTGTTTCTGTGTTGGGCAGAAAATAATGCAATAGATTTCTTAAATGACAATATGTAAATTAGCAGGGAAAGTACATGGAACTCTGCTCAGGAAACAGTGCTATAATAGCAAGACAACCCAAATGATGCATTCAGATTTTATTGTATCAAAAGAGGTACACTTGTGTAATTAACTTCATATGCATGCTTTGTGTTTTCAAAAGTCATGAATATTATTATATAATATTATTACATAAGCAATTATTGCCAGAGAAATAAAACAGAGATTAAAAAATGCAGGTATTTGGAATAAGAAAACATGGACTGCAGGAATTACCGGGAAGGAGTTCTTTTCTTCTTCCCAAAGAAAGCAGGTGCCATAGCAAAATGATGGGTAAATTCAGGGGAGCACAATTTGTCAGGCTCATTGTGTGGTATTTCTTACTGAAAGGATCTTAGGATGGTAGACATGGCAAATCCATAATTATAATCATTACTATTAAATGTTAACCATTACTTATTATCAACCTATGCCAATGTAGAACATCGTTAGTTTTGCCAATCTAATGCAGTATTTTTCAACCTTGGTTACCTGAAGGTATGTGGACTTCAACTCCTAGAATTTCCCAGCACATCTTCAAGTGCCAAGATCAAATAACACCGGTCTACCGCTATCCTTAAATTTCTATGTTGCCCTACCCTACAGAAGAATTTCTTAATTTTGGTTTTATTATTTGAAATGTTCAGAAATCTAAATCCCATGATAGATAGATATATGCCACCTCATGCCATGCTGCAGGTGGATCTAGAAAAAGTGTTAATCCAATCCATTTTTTATTAACTTGCAGGAACTCCTACAGAAGAATCTTGGCCAGGCATCACATCCAATGAGGAGTTCAAAACTTACCAGTTCACACAATATCGAGCCCAACCTTTGATAAATCATGCACCCAGGTAGAGGCAAAATCAAGAAGAGACCAATTTATTATGGATCATAGCTGTTGGTTGCAAGTATTGCAAGGAACAAAATTTCAGCAGTCCTCTTAGAAATAACTAAAGAAATAGATACAGAGAATAAATGGTGGTATAAAGAACTCCTGGAAAAGTTGTTTGATTGTCTGCACTGCCCTCAGTGAACACAGATGATTTTTCTCTGTCCCAATGCAACATGCATGGTTCTTATTTGCACCGAGATTGAGGAAATGAGAGGCTTTCTTTTCAGGGGCTGCCACTAGATGGCAGTAGTGCTTTGAGAAGTTCAAACTGCAAAGGTAAAAGCTAGGCTTTTTTACTGCACTGTGTTGTCTCTACCTAAGAAGGAACTCAAATTGCCAAGTGATTTTTTTTTTTTAATTAGCTTCTGCAGTCTGCTATCCTCCAGGCATATTGGATTATTATTTCCACCATCACCAGAATTCAAACTTTGGGGAAGTTGATCTGAGCCACTTTTCTTTGAAGCTGGCCCTTTTAACCAGAGCTAGAGTCATGTGTTCAGGTATTGGTCCTGCTGCTTGAAGAGTTTCCCAAATACAACAATGCTTTCTTCTCTTGCAGGCTAGACACAGAAGGTATTGACCTTTTGACAAGTCTCCTCCTGGTAGGTGATCTTACCTGCTTATCCAGATATCAGAAATGTCACAGCCTAGTTCCCACATGCTGAAGGGATTCAGTATCATTGGTTTCCACCCTGGGGATTCATGGAGCGACTGTGTGTCCAAGAAATCTTCCCAGACCATTATTCCTACTACTCCCCTTGATTTTTCTAGTTGACAGTTTTTATTCTAGAAGTCAGGAGTGTCAAACTCAAAGCCTGTGGAGTGCTTAGATCTGGCCCATGGGACCGCCCTGGAAACAGCAAAGGACTGGCCCACGGTGTCTCTGCCAGTGAAAACTGAGCTCGGGCCACCACAGCCCCCCCCCCCCACAACATGAGTGACGTCAAGCTGGCCATGTCCACCTGACCACGTCCACCCACCCCCAGGTCAAACACAACCCTTATGTGGCCCTAATGAAATCCAGTTTGACACCCCTGCTATAAGTGAAAGAAGCTAAGATTGTTAGTGCTGAAGTTCTATAAATGGATGCTGAAAATAGTATGGGTAGTGCTGGCCTCTCCTCATTTTGACCTTTTGTGGCCACCAAACAACCTTTTTCTCAATATTATTTTTGTGCTGTCCAGGCAGTTTATAGTTAATTGGGAAGTGGGATAGTTAGTTAGGAATTGGGAGCTGTCCCCTTAAGGGAATGCATCCTGGGAAATGTAGTTAAGGCATCATTGGAAATGTAGTCCATGTCTTGTGGTCACATCTGTAATCCTGATTGGTCACTGAATTGACCCTTGGTTGGGTTGGGGGAAGCCCTGTGTCCCTTTCCTTGCCTGGACCCAGCAGCATGCTGGCTCCCTCCACTCCTTTGTTATGGGATGAAGAGAACTGTCTTTTTACACTGAATGAAGTCAGCTATTCTTATAGTCTTATTTCAAAGTAAATATGATATTACAGTGATATTCCAAATCCTAAGTAAGGTTAGCAATCTTCTAAGAAGTTTATTTGCTTGCTTTTTCTGGTGAATTCTAAGCATTTCTCTTGATTTTCCTGAGTAATTTCACAAAGCTGCACCATCATGCTGCATTCTCAGCCTTTCCTTCTTCCTGACATTTGAACAAATCTTCTCCAAATCACTGTTTCTAAATGTTCTTGCTTCACATTGAAGAAGACAAAAACAGCCACTTAAAATGCACTGGGAATGGTAATGATTCCATATTGAGATCTTTGTTTTTCATTATTTATGCAAAGGAAGCCATGTTGAGCAATTAAGGAAAATATTTTATAAACATCGGTTGCTAAATTCTCTCAGGCTAAATATTAATCAGAGTGTATGTGGGAGTATGGGAATGCATGTGGTAGAAAGGGAGAAGAGGTTGAGAAAGAACCAGAGGATGCTAAACCCCAAACTCTGAATTTAGGCAGTCTTAAACTGAACCGTAGAAAGCTGTTCCCAGTTGAATTTGATTGGTTTCTGGATCTTATGCAGGTTTCAGGTTGCACCTAAAAGTGTTAGAAGAGGAAAACGGCTAGTTCCCACTTATAAATATTTATGACAATATTTATAGCCCATCCCAATTTAATATAGCTTGTGTGGGATACAAAAAAAAGGAAAAAGGAAAAAATATATGAAATAAAAGTAGGGATGGGAGGGATGATATTCCAAGAAGGAAGACCACCATTGAGAAGGCCTGGCACCTGGTTCATGCCCTTTAAAATTTACAAGGGAGAAACCTAAAACACACTCTCTGTGGGCAGATAGATGAGCAGATTTGATTCGCAGGGGTGTTGGGCTGGATGCCTCATGGCTAGGCCACGCCCACCCCAGCTTTCGAAGGGGGAAAAATGTCCCAAAAGGTCACGTGATGGCAATATGATGCAGCGTTTGACATCCATGTGATAAGGCATTGCCTGATTTATCCCAATGCTGCATCGTGAGGGTCTTCAAGGTATTGATCAGCGCATTGAATAGCACCTGAAAGCCAGCTGACAGCTAATGTGGCAACTTCAAAAGAAGCATTATTCTGGCCTGACAGGGTTGTCCCATCAAAAACCTTTGCATTTCATACCAGCTGTAGATTCTGGATCATCTCCAAAGGCAACTCTACATGCCACAAGTAGCCGTATTACTACGACTACAATGGTCATTTGAAACCAAGCTAGGATAGCATTCCCTAGTGCTCAAATGTTATTTTGATTCTCATGTGGAACATACATCTGTTTCAGCTTGACAGTGGTATATTTAGTGGTAGACCAAAGGCCAAAAACTACTCTGAATCAATCAATCATTCACAATTGTGACTCTCAAATACACAAGTACCACAGTATGCAACTCAGAACAGGCCACTGATATTGGGGCTGAGGCCATTGGGAACATAATTCATTTGTCAGCCTTGCCATGTGGATATAGTAGTTTTACCCCAGCTTTCAGGCAGATATAGCACAGGCAAAAATGACATGACTGGCAAGTTCAGATCAAAATAATTGCTATTTCTAAATGCTGTTGCAAAGAGGGGGTAGAATGAGGTTTATCCAGAATGGTGCTACTTTAACCATCAAGTTTCAAGTTTGCACTCAACAGCACTTCTGGATCTTAGTCAACTAGCCCTCTTTTACAGATATTGGAGATGAAATCAGCTTAATAATCCCAGTGGAATTGAGGAATACAGTTTGGAGCTCCAATCAGAACCAATAATGCCACTGTAATTGGCCAGGAAACAAGAAACTGAAATGATACGATTGGAAGCTTCAGAAAAACAAAAATAGCTGGTTTACTTTAATAGTAAACCAGTAAAGATTCCCGCAAAGGAACATAACATGTCTAATCATTCCAGTGAACAGGCATAAATGTTCCTCCATTCTAAGTCTGATCTATGATGTTACCAAGTCTCAGATTTGTTGATTATTGTGTTGCTTTGTTCTGTTTCTGCTGCCAAGATTCTTTTGTCCTGTTCTGGCTTTTGTAGGCAATGTTGTTTGACTCTGCAGTAATTGCTTGACTTCCCTGTACTGAGCCAAAACTAAAATAAAAACATACATTTTCTAAGGTACAATTGTTTTGTGTGACTGCAGACTGAAGAAACCAGACAGGATGCAATTTTGCAGAAGAATTTGGGGGGGTCATAGATTTGACAGACTTAAAACAAATGGTCCAACTTGTACAACATCTCTACTGAACTCCAAAGGACATTAGGAAAATAGTATTGTTAGCAAAATAACTCTTCATTTTATGTTTTCTAGTAATAGTTTCCATCTCCCATCATGCTGTTCAACCAATCATTTATGATTCTTCTGCAGAGTAATATCCTCAGATCAGTCAATTATTTAAAAACTCTGCAGCCACACAATGAATCAGCATCTGGGAACAATGTATAAAATCACTGTAAAAATATGGACTCAAGTCTCTTTTTCCCTCAAGTATGAAGCCAAACAGCGTATCTCTGCTGAATCAGCTCTACGACATCCCTACTTTATGATCCTAGATGAACAAGTCCACCTCCTTCCTGAGAGTAAGCATACAATGGGAACATTGTGACATAAGATGACTTCATAATAGTTCCAAAGTATGAATGAAGCCAATTGTTTTGTATCAGATTTAAGCCCTTTCTCTGATTCTTTCAAAACACCTTGTACTTCAAGCAATTAATCACAGTAAAGTTTTAGAAGTATCATACAGGTCGTCCTTGACTTACAACAGTTCATTTAGTGACTGTCCAAAGTTACAACAGCATTGAAAAAAGCAACTTATGACCATTTTTCACAGTTACGACCTTTGTAGCATCCCCATGATCATGTGATCAAAACTGAGATGTTTTGCAACTGGTTCATATTTGTGGCCGTTGCTGTGTCCCAGGACCATGTAATCCTCTTTTGTGACCTTCTCACAAAGTCTTTCTCACATGCAAAGTCAATGCAGAAGCCAGATTCACTTAACAACCAGGTTATGAACTTATCAACTGCAGTGATTCACTTAACACATGTGGCAAGAAGGGTTGTAAAATAGGCCAAAACTCACTTAACAAATGTCTCACTTAACAACACAAATGTTGAGTTCAGTTGTGACTGTAAATCAAGGACGACCTGTAGTTCCCTAACAAGAACTAAGATATGGTTTGTTGTGCAGCACAGTTGATGGCTGCATTTTATTGTTTGTAGGTGTTATGCTTTTCGCTGTCACTCTGAATACATCTGCATTTTAGTCTCACAAAGCCAAGTACGCAAAATAAATATGTAAAATATTTAAAAAGGCAGAAGCGGAAGAAATAAAATCCAAGAAATGCCATTTTTGAAAAGAGAAGAAGATGTGGGAAGAAAAGCTACTACCAGAACTTTGGTAACATAAATAACATCCAGTGAATACCAATACCACTAATCCAATTGATCTTCTATAGGTGTACTTACTTGTAGGCATCCATCCACTGTAATCAATTGGGTCGTATACACAGAATGAATCAGAATGGCAAGTGACCTCTGAGAGATCCAATCCATGACTTCTGTTTCCATTTCCTTCTCTCCTCTAGCTACCTCCATCTTCTCTTTGAAGGAAATTCAACTTCAAAAGGACCCTGGCTGCCGAGGCTCAAGTTTCCAGCATGTTGGTAGGTACCAACTTCTTCTGGAAAGCAGTTTGACTGAAGGCCCTACAGAAATCTTTTGTTTTCTACATTTTTCTGATATAGATTGGAACAGTGGAAAGCACTGGTTCATAGCAATCAGCTATCGAAATATGTTCTAAAGATCAGATCTCATAACATAGAGATGATGGCCTGTACTGTTCTAAAAAATAATAGAGTGTGTGTTTCCCAAGTATATGCCTTGCTAGTTGTATATCATGATTGATCCTTCACAGGAGAGATCGTCATAGTACATGATACCACATAAAACCCAGGTAAATGAATATAAGGAATCCCAGAAGGTGGTGTATGTAGAAGGGAGAGATTTCTAACCCTCCAAATGTTGCTGTAGTTTAATTTTCAGCAGATACAGCTGCCATGACAAGGTAAATCAAACTGGAAGGTAAGATTTGGCAATATTTTGCCAGAGGCCTTGCCTATTTTGAGGGGGCCAGAGACAGGAACTAAACATTCTTCACACATACTTTTCGGGGACACAAAACAAACGAGTAGTATTTTTTTAATCATATCCATCATAAGTCCTTTATACTATAGTAATATATATTAAATTATATATATATATATATTCTTAAGTTTTCGCGGGTACTTACATGTATGGTATTCAGCTTTGTTCAGGTATTTTCCCCCGTCATTATAGTTGTGCTTTTAAAGTTGTAGCAACGTTTCGGCTGAAAAACTCATCTGCCATCATCAGGCTTCTGTATTGTGTTCGTCTGTGAGTCAGACTTTCACAGCCATATACACCCAATCAAGTCACACTTTACTAGCAGTTAAAAGGAAGAAGCAGCTGCAAGCTCACATTACTCCGAGAAGCACAAAGCCAAAGACACAAGCCTGAAGATGATGATTGAGACTTCATCGAAACGTCGCCTAGATACTTCCAATTTTACTTGGGATAAAACCCAAATAACCAAAGATCCACATACAAATACCCGTGAAAACCTCAGAAAACAAATATATATATTTATATATATGTACCATTATACCATATATATAATATTAATTTCCATTCCTCCTACATATATAAAGTAGAGGAAGGAATTGTGATGAAATCTCCTTTTTTATCTCATCTTCCAAGCCACAGATTTTGGTCCAAGGTTCTTATATCCTCTAATTTTTCTCCTTCCCTACTTCTACAGCTCGAGGAAAGAATAGGAGGCAAAGCATATTTTAAGCCTCTTTGTTCATTCTTCCAATCACTGAGAAGATGGAAGCACTGAGAAGAGAGCAGACCGCTGGATCCCAGATAGTCCATCTGAGAAAAATAAGGGGTGGCATCTACTGTACAAGAGCTGCCTTGCAATCAGCTATTTCTCAAAATCTCGCCTCTTTCTCGAATGAGAAAGGAAAAGAGAGACATTGTAAAGCCTCAGCCAGCTCCCATTCTTCGTACAGCTGTTGGAATATACCACCTGGGCAAGAATCTGCATCAGATGGTGAGTGGCCTCTGAAACAGTGAGGCTGCTGTTTTAGATGGAAGCAATCCAGTCGTGGAATCAACATCAGCGTTGCTTCTTCAATGTCTTATCATAACCAACATTTTGCATTCCATTAGATTTCTATGATGTCTTTCAGATATGATGAGTATGAAGTAACAGTGGAAAGCACTGGTTCTCATGCAAATCCCTCTCCCTCTGCCTTTAAACTGAAAAAAGAAATATGAAGGTTTAACAAGGGCAACTACAATAACAATTTAAAAGCCTGCTTTCTTTGAGTTACCTTTGCTCTATTTTTTTAAGAAATGTTCTCAATTCTAAAAGGTAAAAAAATTAAGGAGAAAGGATGGAGTAAGAAAGGAAGGTGTTTTGATAGATTTTCTTAGGCCCTTAGTACTTAGGCATATCAAAGCATATACTAAGTTTAAGTTTTCTCAAACAAGATTTCAACTTGCAGACCATGATTTAAATCAGTCCTGCTCTCTAGATACATTGAATTATAATTCCCACAATTTCCAGAAGCTAGGTACATATGAAACTTGTATTTCAGCACAGGTAAGGAGTACCAGTTTGGAAGAAGCTGATATAGGCTTTATTAAATATATACCTCCTATTTTTTAAGAATCTCTTTTTAACTTACCATATTTATCAGAAACACATAGATATACAAAGGCTGAAATCAAGTCATAAAAAAGTAGACAGTACTTGAATCTTTAACTTGGTTGACTGTAAAACTGAAAAAAACTTTGATTCTTTTTTTTTTTTTGGCCCTTTATACTTCTGTATTCCTGTACTGAATCATGTCAGTACTGTACTGATTCCTGTACTGAATCATTCCTGTACTGAATCATGTATGAAGATACAACTATTCTTTATTGTTTGTCCCTGCCACTACAGAAACATGCTTTAAAGTCACAAAGCATCCTCGGTAAACTTGCCACATCCTTGGTGATCCTGGCACAAACAAAAAATTCTACACTCCTATGTGCATTTATGTTTTTCTCAATATTATTATGCTAGCAAGCCTATTCCCTAGTAAGTATGTGCGGCACTTCAGATAAATCCCCTTAAATCTATGGAAAGCAAGGGCTGCTGATCTATTTTTATTCCTGAGATCAGTCAACTCACTAGAGAGATGGTAGTACTGGAATGAAAAAGCTTGAAACCAATTCCTCCTACCACTCAAAAGATGTTATGCAACTGTTCCACTTTCTTAATGAATGTTATATGTTAAAACAAAAGTTGTAACAAATGGTGGGAAAGGATGTGAAACAAGGACATTAATTTTTGGATCAAATACATGCAAAAACCCTAAATTATAAGTGAAGATGCAAAGTGAATGTTCAATAAAAACATAACTAAAGACATTTTTATGAGGAAATCAGAGTGCTTCGATACTGAGAGTAGCTAGCATTACCAAAACCTTTCTTCTTTTTTTTTCCTAATAGAAAAAAGGTGAAAGAAATTGTAAACAAACACCAAGTGTTTCCAAGTGGAATACAACATATTCTAGATATATTCCTCCTCTTAAAATGTCATGAATGAGCCAGGGCAATTGCACAATAAAAGCCTTGCTTCAAAGCACCCAAAGATTGGCAGATTGTGTAATCAGTTCAGGTGTCTGTGTGATTCAGGTATCTGTGTGATGCGACTCAAGATTATAGTACTTCTTCTGCATAGCCTAATGAAAAGAGGTGGTTAACCTGGTTCCTAATAATACCATTGTGAGCAAGACTTCTCCCCCGATACCCGCTCCCCCACAAGTTCCTTATCTTTGCCTTTTATAATATTTTAATTAAAACTGAGTTCAGTTAGAAATGGGCATACAGGCAAAATGAATATTAGCCTCAGGGCCCCACAAGCATATTTAGAAAATAGCAGCTCTCAATGCCTGCAGCACAATGCTTTATTTGAACTTGTGCCTATCAGCTCAGAAGAATCCAAAGTGGAAACAAGGAATGATGGAGGGGTCAGAAAGTGGTGTCAAATTAAAATTACCTTTTGATAAATCTACTGTTTGTGATTTCTATACTGACATGATGGATATTTTGTTGCTACATGCTCTCAAAATTGTCCATCATATAATTGCCTATCTCTGCTCTAGAAAACTATTCTTCAATGCTTCAGTTTTAACAGCTGTTCAATGAAAATATTTAATTGAGTGGCCATTTGCCATTTGTGCAGTAATCGTTCAAAATTTGTTGTTCTGTTTTTGATTGTTGTTTCTTCATTTTGGAGTAAAAAGTAAGGAGGAATCCACTTAGGTAGCAGATTCCAGAAGACGCACCAAATTAGAGTCACCAATCTCTCTATGAGATCCAACTCTGATGGGAACGAAGGAAAAGTCATTGATCTTTCGCTTTGAAAATGTTTTGGTTATCAATGGTTCCCTTTTGTAAAACAAAGACAATATATATATAGATTTTGCATGATTTTCTTAAGAAAAGAAAAGGTGTTGTACAGAAATATAGATTGATCTCATCAGCAACGAATTAGCAATGGTCTAAATACTTGTAGTAAAGAACTGCCTAGCTACTTAAACTATTATGTGAATTTCAGCCTTTCTTCTCTTATCGTTAGTGTGCTTGCTTCCTCACTCAGCCATAATACCCTGGTGACAAAAGAAACTATAACTGACCCACTTCCCTTTCTTTGCAATTTCTATAGATCTAATCCACTGAGAACCTATAATGCCAGCAGATCCCTCGCAACCACAGGCTTAAACCTTCAAAGCTCTCTTGTCTACTTCCTTCCTGCCAATAACATACAATCATTTCTCTTAAATGTTGTGTTGTGTTTTACCACTTTCTCCCCCATAATTCCCCACTTGGATACTGTTTCCAAAATGCCAATTTTTTAAATCAGGTTTCTGTTTCCCGGGTTATTTCTCACTTTATCCTTTCTCTTCATCTCTTAACTTACATATGTGGCATTCCTTTTATATTCAGTTTCTCAACACAAGAAAATACATTTTATGGAGAATATCTTGTTTATATCCTCTGTCAATTTATCACAAACCTGTTCATCAGGTTTTTCTTTTGATTCTTCTTAATCCACTGTTTATTTTTAAGCATCATGGCTCTAGCTCTTGCTTCCCTGCAGGGCTATTTCCCAACACTAAGTCCTCAGGGAGCCCTAATTCCTGAAAGAAATTTCTTCCCATTCCATCACAGAAGAAGCTGAAAATATGAATAATTATTTCTTGATCAACTGGATTCTGTTTCATTCATTGCTGTTGGTCAACCAGTCAGTACTGTTTTAATTCCTTCCAATACTAGGCTTTAATGGCCTAATTTTTCTCCGTTTGGCTATTCCAAAATAAATTAGGTATTCTAATTATCACTCAGTTATATGGTTTTGAACTTTCAGGAAACATCTTGCATATAATTAAAATTAAAAGAAAAAAATACTTGAAACATCATATCAACAGACAAGGTCCCCCATCGAGGATATACAGAATGACAAGGTGGTTGAGCTGGCATGCCAATTATGTTAGTAAAGGCCAAAGGAAAACTGTCAAGCGGAAGGGCTTGCTTGGGACTTAAGGGCAAATCCACCCAGTAATCATTCCCTCTCGTGTTATCTCAGTGGTTTTCCACAACTGATGGCTTTATTTTACAAAGCTATTTTTGCTAACATAGATGCTGCGTCCAAACAATGCAGGGCACTTGATAGTCATTGGAGGAGCAGCCTGAAATTATCTGAACTATGCCAACATTGTCAAGGTAGATTCTATCTGTTTCTTCAGTCCTATTTGGGCATGAAGGAAACCCAGACCTCTGGCTTTCACTGCCAGCCTTTTTTTAATGGTTTGGTCAGCTGGTTAACCTTAAGAGTGAAAGACCCTGAAATTGACTAGCCCATCCCTGATTTTCACTTAAAATGAATGCGAAAATAGTCTTGTCTCTTGTGCTTCTTTAGCCTGTGTGATTTGCAATTCTTTTCCCAATTGCTGCTGTTCCAAGGAAGTCCCAGTGCTTTGCTCCCTCTCCCTACATATATTCTTAGGATAAGTTACATCTGTCACACCATTTCATATGACTAAGTCCTTCCTCAGATGCCACTCTTACCCACTGTTTGAATCTCAGCTACCAGATCTGGAAACCAAACTATGATTCTTTGTTACTATATAGAGGTTATTAGGCTGACCAGGTGGCCCCCACTTTCAAGGAATAAAAATAGCAAAGTACAGTCAATCAGCAGAAGAATGGGAAGGGAGGGAGGGAGGAAGGAAGAGAGGGGTAACTAAAGCATAGCCATAAGGCAGTGGTGGCTAACCTTTTCGGCACCGAGTGCCGAAACGGAAGCGCACGTGTGCTCATGTGCCAGAAACTGGAAGAACAGCTTCCCAACACATGCACAGGAGAGCTCCGGAAACCAGAAGCTTAGGTTCCTGGTGGACATATGCACAGCGGCCACTTGGTCTTCTGGTTTCTAATGCACGAAGACCAGCTGGCTGGTGCGCACATGCACTCTAGGGAGCTGCTCTTCTGGTTTCTGGCACTCCTGTGTGCACAAAGACCAGCTGGCTGGCACACATGCACGTGCCGGAACCCAGAAGAGCAACGGGGAATGGCTGGCATGCCCAGAGAGATGGCTCCGTGTTCCACTTCTGGCACGTGTGGCATAGGTTCACCATCACAGCCATTGGGCATGTCAGCTGGAGAAGACTTTTCACCTTCTGAATAACCCCAACTGAAGCTGGAATTTCAGCCAAAGGAACCACCATTCATGAATTTTAGAATGAGGTGCCTTAAAACTAGAGAGGCAGCATAAATGCATTTTGAACATGTGGTGAAGGTATTCTGTAGGGGCAGCAAGATTCAGGTGGCATATTTCCTGTCAGCTTTGAGAGAAAATAGGAACACCATAAACAGCTGTGTGGTTAAGCCTAATCTTATCTTGAATGAACGAATCTGGTTATTGGGATGAGGACCATGAAGTTAGAAAGCTTTCCATTTTATATGAAATTTCAGAAACCAGCCAGGAGAGAAATATGTCTTTTTTTTCCTTTCCCATTCTTCAGAAATCTCTCTTGCATGGAACTCTGCAATTAATTGTTAAATGAATCATGAAACACATCTTTACCAGCTTTTTCCTTCGCATTATATAAATGAAGTGGA